TGTATATATACTGAGAGGTGTATGTCTCCCAGTGTATATATACTGACAGGTGTATGTCTCCCAGTGTATATATGCTGAGAGGTGTATGTCTCCCAGTGTATATATACAGAGAGGTGTATGTCTCCCAGTGTATATATACTGAGAGTTTAATCCCTGCTTTAGATACTATCTTTCTGGGTGGGACTGATGAGGGCCAGGTTGCATGCAGCCTTAATGACCCTCGTATAGTTGATAGGCTTCAAACCTAATTAACCAACTAACTATAACGCATTAGATAGTTCAATCATAATTCGCTAAAAAAATATGTGATTAAAACTGACATCACATAAATTACACAAAATATATTCAATAATTTAGTTGAGTCGTAGCGGATGAGACGAGAGATCCCACTTTCCTGCTCAAATATTGTTATTAATAATAACTGAGCTTTAACCAGTGATAATTAAACCAGTGATAATTAAACCAGTGATAATTAAACCAGTGATAATTAAACCAGTGATAATTAAACCAGTGATAATTAAACCAGTGATAATTAAACCAGTGATAATTAAACCAGTGATAATTAAACCAGTGATAATTAAACATGAAATTAACAGTGATAATTAAACCAGTGATAATTAAACCAGTGATAATTAAACCAGTGATAATTAAACCAGTGATAATTAAACCAGTGATAATTAAACCAGTGTTAATTAAACCAGTGATAATTAAACCAGTGATTAATTAAACCAGTGATAACTAAACCAGTGATAATTAAACCAGTGATAATTAAACCAGTGATAATTAAACCAGTGATAATTAAACCAGTGATAATTAAACCAGTGATAATTAAACCAGTGATAATTAAACCAGTGATAATTAAACCAGTGATAATTAAACCAGTGATAATTAAACCAGTGATAATTAAACCAGTGATAATTAAACCAGTGATAATTAAACCAGTGATAACTAAACCAGTGATAATTAAACCAGTGATAATTAAACGAGTGATAATTAAACCAGTGATAATTAAACCAGTGATAATTAAAAATTATCGTATTAATTAGTGGGTGAACTTTCCACTATTGAGACAGTTCTCCTTCCTTGTCTTCTTAGTCTTATTTTTCCTCGTTCTGTTTCTCGTCTTCTTCTTACTCTTCTTTCTTGTTTTTTCCTCTTCTTTCTAGCCATTTTCACTGTCACATAACAATTAACATTATACAAGAACACAAGGGGTGTTGAAGGCTCGATTCTCCGTCCTGTAATCACAAGAAGACGCCCTCAAAGACTCTCCCTCAACTGATAAGTAAAATAAAGAAGAGCACAGATAAAATGTGAAGATTAAAACATACAAAGGAAACCAATAAATGCAGATACAAACAAATACGTGAATGTTTATGAATTCGACATATAAGGGTGAAAGTGCGTGTTTAGCACAGCTTATTCTCTTCCTTCTAACTCATCCCCATGATCGTTTTGTCCCCTGTTGTATATACATCTTATTCATGTCCTCGTTTATTCCATTCCTCTCTTTGTTTATCTCACACTCTCCCTGTTCTCTGATTTTGTTTTGCATTTTCTCTTCCAGTTCGTTCAACCCTCCTTCTCTTATCTATTTCATTCTTCTCTTTCCTGTTGAATTCCTCGCCTATTCTATTCCATATTTCTTCTCAGCTTTTCCACTCCCTCCCCACGCTTCTTCCACCCTTCCTGCTAATATTTCACTTTTTCATCCCTATTTTTTTAAATACCCCTCTCATTCTTCCTCACCTTCAACCTTGTTCCCTCCTCTCCCATACGAATTAAATCCCTATCGTATTCCATCGCAGTTCTCCTTTATCTCCCCGTTGTTTGAGATATCGTTGTGTGTCACAGAACTTCCGTTGATCCTTTGTTTGTTCCTTTAGAGAGGAGAATAATGAGTTTACACCTGAACGTAAATGTATTAAATATTTAATAATTGCGTAACAGTCTCTCTCTCTCTCTCTCTCTCTCTCTCTCTCTCTCTCTTACACAGGGTTTGACAAGGTTAGGTTAAGGATCCCTAGCTTTATTGACAAGCTAAGAGCTGTTAAATACATCAACTCATTTCAAAGCATTTTTAATTGTTATGAGACATACAAGTAGGGAACAGGATGAAGTTGGAGCCATCTGTGGGCCAGCATATTCATTTGATCGATCGGATCAACCGGGCTGTGGCTCGTACGTTGGTTTGCGTGCAGCCAGCAGCAACAGCCTGGTTGATCAGGCTCTGATCCACCAGGAGGCCTGGTCACAGACCGGGCCGCGGGGGCGTTGACCCCCGGAACTCTCTCCAGGTAAACTCCAGGTAAACTTTATCTTGTTGATATCATAATGCTGTACGAATGTGTTCCATACTCGAGTCATCCTGGGGATAAATGATCTCTCTCTCTCTCTCTCTCTCTCTCTCTCTCTCTCTCTCTCTCTCTCTCTCTCTCTCTCTCTCTCTCTCTCTCTCTCTCTCTCTCTCTCTCAGGAAAAAAGAGAATGCAAGTGGTGGCATAAATAATTTTGACACAGGCTTGAAGATACACATGAGAGCCAGTGATCAAGGTCAGTTTGGTCTTGATTACACTACGGGTGCATCAATGAGAATAATTAGCATGACCTTAGTGAGTGACACCATAACAACACTGTTAACGGATCATTGTTACAGCTGGTAGTGATGTATGAGGCACATCTCATCCGTCGTAATGAACCGACTAGAATTTGTAAGTAGTAAATCATTTGTGATTCGCTGTGTTTATCGCCAGTGTGAGGCTGACGACACAAGCTACCAGATGTTACAATCCACTTCGTGATGTAATCATCCTGAGTGGTGTACTTAACTGTTTGTGGTCGCAGTGGAGAACTGCAAGACGCCTGACTAAGCCAGTTTTGCGCAAATAAGCCGAACTGCATTAAAAAAAAAATTGATCCTATTAACAGATACATTTCGCACAATATACACTTATGAGAGGAAATTTATGACGACGTTTCGGTCCGGTCCAGACCATTGTCAGTTGATACCTGAGTGGAAAAAAAATGAGAAAACCGGGAAACAGGTCAGGAAGGAGGGAAAAAAATAGTAGTAATAGTCAAATATATGATATGCTGGAAAACTAGCCTAGGTATCTGACCAAATGTTACTAAATTTACGGGATACAACGTTGCTTCAGCCTCCTCAACCTAAGTCTAGCAGAAATCTATTATTATTTAACACAGTTGGTATACTGAGACCACACAATCCATGCAACATCTAGCACTGATGGATGCCCTACTCTTAAGGATTGTGTGGTCCCGTGGATTAAGGCATCATGAATTATCGCCCACCATGAGACAGGCCAAAGCAGCATGGGTTCGACTCCTTGGCTAGTGGCAATGTTGTTATTCTATATATATATATATATATATTATATATATAATATATATATATATATATATATATATATATATATATATATATATATATATATATATATATAATATATCACACACTGAGTGACCCTGGTTCGATCCCCGGCGGGATGGAAACACTGGGCGTGTTTCCTTGCACCTGCTGTCCCCGTTCACCTAGCAAGTAAGTAGGTACCTGTGTATTAGTCGACTGGTGTGGGTCGGCATCCTGGGGGACATGACTCCAGTGGAAATAAGACAAGACTCTCCTCGATGACGCACTGACTTTCTTGGGTTATCCTGGGTGACTGACCCTTCGGGTTAAATATCCGAACAGTACACAACCCAAGGTAAGTTATCTGAGGATTATATCTTTATGGATTAGCATATGAGCAAGTACAAGGTTTTGTTAGTTTAACTAAAACGAAGACTTGGGAATTTAAACCAGGATAACCCAAGAAAGGGAAATATTGTGACCTATTTTCCTCCAAGGACCCCAATGGGGTCCTAAGTAATCTACACATATGCTACTATGTATGATAATTTATGTAACTGTATTTATGTGTACCTGTACCTGAATAAACTTACTATATTCTTTGGAATCCTTAGGTTCTCTTTCCCAGGTAACTTCCGCCAACACTCGGCTAACACGAGGTACCTAAGTACTGCTAGGTGAACAGGTGCAGCCGGTTTGAAAAGGCTTGTTGAAACGTTCCAGCTCTCACAAGTCACCTTATTCCAGTCTTCCCTTCCTACTTCTTTCATGCTATATCAAATTTTATGGTCACTCTTCACAGCCCTTTCGTTTATGGAGCTCCGAGTAAGAACCAGCTAAGAATTTCTGATGTTATTTTGGAAGGCAGGTTCAGGGTCTGACGGGGGTCACTGGCTTGGGATTTAAAAATACACACACACATAGCAACACTTAGTTGGTCGTCTGTCACCAGCTACGTGAAGCAGATTTCTTGATTATCTCTGTTCTTCTCCCTCTTTCTATCCTCTCCCTCTCTTCAACACGTCGTCAACAATGGCTACAAGATGGTATCTCTATTAAAAAAAATAGAACCTCGAACTGACACAAGGCAGCAGTGTTGACACACAAAATAATGTCTGCGAAAAGCTTGTAGCTTCGCTAAGTTTTGGGTGATTTTTGGAAACTAGGTTTATATATACGAGAAATAACAGGTGGGTGTGAGTCTTGTAGGATAAATTGTTCTCTGGAGAACAAATTACTCAAGACAATGATAACAAGAGGATTCAAATTGTACTAAATGCACGATAAGGTATATAATATAAGATAGAGATTCCCAGAGTGGCATCAGCAAAGATGTTTACACAGAGGAGTTACTGATACCAGCTTTTCTATTTCCATTATACGTTTAGTCCAACAAACGTGTCGATAAAACACCTCTGCAGCTGCCATTGACTTAGTAATTTCATCGTCTCGACAATTTCTATTAGAACTAGATTTTATTTCAACAAAAGGGAAGATGGGAAGCTAAAACTAGACGTAAATAAAGGAAAATATAGACACTCGGCCACGGACAATATCCTCTCTGAACGAAGCTTAATGAAAAGGAGAGAACGTCCTGAGATTTCTCACTTGCAGTTTGCGTTCAGTTTACGTTCAACGTTGGTGGAGGGAGGTTATAGCAGCCGGCTGTAGCAGCACTCAGCTCTATGGTCCATACTCATGATGTAGTGTGTAGGTGTGTGCCTCAGAAATGCTGTGAACTGGCCAGTATGAGATCCCCCAAGAGATAAAGTGTGTGGCCGGCAGCCTCGCCAGTGTTGTGTAAAAATATTATTATTCTGTGAGGATCTCATAATCTACATGTGTTACTGTCGAGGTTTCACCAGAAGTTGGATGTTTTAATGGACATTATGACCTTCTACAGCAATTCTACGGTACGTGTACAACATCTCACCTACTTCTTATGTAGACACTTAATGTTTAGTATTTTTTTCCTCCCCTTAGACAACGTCTCATGATATACAGAAGCTGGTGAAATATTTTGGAATTATTTTCACCCAAAAGTCCGCCGTGAATACTCCCATTTTGCAACAAGAAGTCTGGTAGATGAGTGTAGGAACTGTGCCAGCTTCCTACCATGTTTGGTCACGGGTCATACAAGCGTTTTACACCTTAGCGTTTTACCACTGTGCTGGTCTAGGGTGATAGACAAGCTTTAGAGGCGAGTTTATGACCTTGGTGTGTGCGTGGGACGCCCCTCTGATGTGCTGAGATGCTCAAAGCAGACTCAAGGCAGCATGCTTGCTGCACTGCTTGTTGCTGTTCTAAGCAGACTCAAGGCAGCATGCTTGCTGCACTGCTTGTTGCTGTTCTAAGCAGACTCAAGGCAGCATGCTTGCTGCAACTGCTTTGCTGTTTAAGCAACTCAAGGCAGCATGCTTGCTGCACTGCTTGTTGCTGTTCTAACAGACTCAAGGCAGCATTCTTGCTGCACTGCTTGTTGCTGTTCTAAGCAGACTCAAGGCAGCATGCTTGCTGCACTGCTTGTTGCTGTTCTAAGCAGACTCAAGGCAGCATGCTTGCTGCCTGCTTGTTGCTGTTCTAAGCAACTCAAGGCAGCATGCCTTTCTGCAACTGCTTGTTGCTGTTCTAAGCAGACTCAAGGCACATGCTTGCTGCACTGCTTGTTGCTGTTCCTAAGCAGACTCATGGCAGCATGCTTGCTGCACTGCTTGTTGCTGTTCTAAGCAGACTCAAGGCAGCATGCTTGCTGCACTGCTTGTTGCTGTTCTAAGCAGACTCAAGGCAGCATGCTTGCTGCACTGCTTGTTGCTGTTCTAAGCAGACTCAAGGCAGCATGCTTGCTGCACTGCTTGTTGCTGTTCTAAGCAGACTCAAGGCAGCATGCTTGCGCACTGCTTGTTGCTGTTCTAAGCAACTCAAGGCAGCATGCTTGCTGCAAATGCTTGTTGACTGTTCTAAGCAGACTCAAGGCAGCATGCTTGCTGCCTGCTTTTGCTGTTCTAAGCAGACTCAAGCAGCATGCTTGCTTGCACTGCTTGTTGCTGTTCTAAGCAGACTCAGGCAGCATGCTTGCTGCACTGCTTTGTTGCTGTTCTAAGCAGACTCATGGCAGCATGCTTGCTGCACCCGCTTGTTGCTGTTCTAAGCAGACTCAGGCAGCAAAGCTTTGCTGCACTGCTTGTTGCTGTTCTAAAGCAGACCAAGGCAGCATGCTGCTGCACTGCTTGTTGGGTGTTCTAAGCAGACTCAAGGCAGCATGCTTGCTGCACTGCTTGTTGCTGTTCTAAGCAGACTCAGGCAGCCCTAAGCTGTTTTAGGCAAACGTTTCGAAATAAAGGAACCTAAACTGTTGCATATGTGTCTTACCTAACAATCTGTCGGTGATCTTTGGCTTGTTGCGCCACAAATGAGGCATGCTGCTTGGCTTAGAATTTCTGCTTTCCATGACTCCCAAAGGTTTTTTCAAACATTAGACAAGCTCTACTTCACCTAAGAATGCTTCGAGGGTTTTTTAAAAAACCAAGGCAAGTACCTTACACTTATCCAACTTAAACCCAACTTTCGGGCATTTTTCAAAACCATGACATTTAATTTTGTTCAAATCTTCCTGGAATGCCCTACCAGTAGGCTTCTTCAGTCAATTTTTACTGGGTTTTAGAAGCCATCTCAATAAGCATAACTTGAGTCTGCTTAAAAGTGCAAAGGTTTCCAACAAGCTATCCCCAGAGCTAAAGGTATGGTCCTACGAGGAGAAGTTAAGAAATTTAACCTGACGACACTGGAGAACAGAGAGATAGGGGGACATTGATAACACATACAAAATACTGAGAGGAATTGACAAGGTGGACAAAGACAGGATGTTCCAGAGATTGGACACAGTAACAAAGGGGACACACTTGGAAGCTGAAGACACCAGATGAACACAGGGATGTAAGGGAAATATTTCTTCAGCCACAGAGTAGTCAGTAAGTGGAATAGTTTGGGAAGCGATGTAGTGGAGGCAGGATCCATACATAGCTTTAAGCAGAGGTATGATAAAGCTCACGGCTCAGGGAGAGTGACCTAGTAGCGATCAGTGAAGAGGCGGGGCCAGGAGCTCGGACTCGACCCCCGCAACCTCAACTAGGTGAGTACAACTAGGTGAGTACACACACACACACACACACACACACACCCTATCACACCATCCCAACACACACTACAATCCATACCCACAGCCTCCACCCAACACTGAGCTATAGAATCCCACAGTATGCCACCAGGTCTCCCACCCTCACAGGCCCCCCAAACCACAGTGTTGGAAAGGAAACTGAAGGTATGGTACACAAACGCTGATGGAATAACAAATAAGTGGGAGGAGTGGCATGAAAGAGTCAAAGAAGCATCACCGGACATCATAGCTCTCACAGAAACCAAGCTTACAGGTATGATAACAGATGCCATCTTTCCAACGGGATACCAAATCCTGAGGAAAGACAGAGGGAACAGGAACAGGGGGGTGGAGGAGTGGCGTTGCTGATCAAAAATCGCTGGAATTTTGATGAGCTGGAGAGAGGAGACAGCGGAGAAGAAAGTGATTACATAGCGGGAACACTTAACTCTGGAGGTCCCAAGGTGGTAATAGCAGTGATGTATAACCCACCACAGAACAGCAGGAGGCCAAGGCAAGAGTACGACGAGAGCAATAGAGCGATGGTTGACATACTGGCTAGAGTGGCCAGAAGAGCTCATGCATGCAGGGCAAAGCTCCTGATCATGGGTGACTTTAACCACAAGGAGATTGATTGGGAGAACTTGGACCCACATGGGGGCCAAGATACATGGAGGGCTAAGATGATGGAGGTGGTACTGGAAAACTTCATGTGCCAACACGTAAGGGACACTACAAGAGAGAGAGGAGAGGATGAACCAGCAAGGCTGGACTTAGTATTCACCTTGAGTAGTGCAGATATCGAGGACATCACATATGAAAGACCCCTTGGGGCCAGTGACCATGTGGTTTTAAGCTTCGAATACACAGTAGAGCTACAAGTGGAGGGAGAAGCAGGACGAATGAAGCCAAACTACAAGAAAGGGGACTACACACTGAACGGGGTTCAGTGGGACAGAGAACTGGCAGGGAAGCCAGTTAATGAGATGATGGAATATGTAGCAACAAAATGCAAGGAGGCTGAGGAGAGGTTTGTACCCAAGGGTAACAGGAATAATCAAAAAGCCAGGATGAGCCCATGGTTTACCCAAAGGTGCAGGGAGGCAAAAACCAAGTGTGCTAGGGAATGGAAGAAATATAGACGGCGAAGGACCCAGGAGAATAAGGAGAACAGTCGTAGAGCCAGAAACGAATATGCACAGATAAGAAGGGAGGCCCAAAGACAATATGAAAATGACATAGCAGCGAAAGCCAAATATGACCCGAAACTGTTGTACAGCCACATCAGGAGGAAAACAACAGTCAAGGACCAGGTAATCAGGCTAAGGAAGGAAGGAGGAGAGACAACAAGAAATGACCGTGAAGTATGTGAAGAACTCAACAAGAGATTCAAAGAAGTGTTCACGGAGGAGACAGAAGGGACTCCAGAAAGACGGAGAGGTGGGGCACACCACCAAGTGCTGGACACAGTGCACACAACCGAGGAAGAAGTGAAGAGGCTTCTGAGTGAGCTAGATACCTCAAAGGCAATGGGGCCAGATAACATCTCCCCATGGGTATTGAGAGAGGGAGCAGAGGCACTATGTGTACCCCTAACAACAATATTCAATACATCTATCGAAACAGGGAGATTGCCTGAGGCATGGAAGACAGCAAATGTAGTCCCAATCTTTAAAAAAGGAGACAGACATGAAGCATTAAACTACAGACCAATGTCACTGACATGTATAGTATGCAAAATCATGGAGACGATTATCAGGAGAAGAGTGGTGGAACACCTAGAAAGGAACGATCTCATCAACAGCAGCCAACATGGTTTCAGGGACGGGAAATCCTGTGTCACAAACCTACTGGAGTTCTATGACATGGTGACAGCAGTAAGACAAGAGAGAGAGGGGTGGGTGGATTGCATTTTCTTGGACTGCAAGAAGGCGTTTGACACAGTTCCACACAAGAGATTGGTGCAAAAACTGGAGGACCAAGCAGGGATAACAGGGAAGGCACTACAATGGATCAGGGAATACTTGTCAGGAAGACAGCAGCGAGTCATGGTACGTGGCGAGGTGTCAGAGTGGGCACCTGTGACCAGCGGGGTCCCGCAGGGGTCAGTCCTAGGACCAGTGCTGTTTCTGGTATTTGTGAACGACATGACGGAAGGAATAGACTCTGAGGTGTCCCTGTTTGCAGATGACGTGAAGTTGATGAGAAGAATTCACTCGATCGAAGACCAGGCAGAACTACAAAGGGATCTGGACAGGCTGCAGACCTGGTCCAGCAATTGGCTCCTGGAGTTCAATCCCACCAAGTGCAAAGTCATGAAGATTGGGAAAGGGCAAAGAAGGCCGCAGACGGAGTACAGTCTAGGGGGCCAGAGACTACAAGGAAAAAGATCTTGGGGTGAGTATAACACCAGGCACATCTCCTGCTGCAGCATATGGGCGCCTAGCAAACCTCAGAACAGCATTCCGACATCTTAATAAGGAATCATTCAGGACCCTGTACACCGTGTACGTTAGGCCCATATTGGAGTATGCGGCACCAGTTTGGAACCCACACCTAGCCAAGCACGTGAAGAAACTAGAGAAAGTGCAAAGGTTTGCAACAAGACTAGTCCCAGAGCTAAGAGGTATGTCCTACGAGGAGAGGTTAAGGGAAATCAACCTGACGACACTGGAGGACAGGAGAGATAGGGGGGACATGATAACGACATACAAAATACTGAGAGGAATTGACAAGGTGGACAAAGACAGGATGTTCCAG